GAAGTTATTTAAAAAGTGGGTACAAGTTAAAACTTTTTTAAAAAATGGGTATAGGTTAAATGAGGGCGACCAAATAAGGCGCCCCGTGCAATTTTTACATTAAAATCCTAACTTAATGTCAATTTTCAAAATTAAACCTAATTTACTAATTAATCAACTTAACACTAATGAAAGGAAATTACCAAATTAAAACTAAAACTAAAAATGTAAAAATGACCAATGTATTCTCTTCTTTTTGTGATTTTCAATTATTAATTAACGTATTAAATCCTAAATGCAAATAAAAACCAAAAATGCTATGCAATAAAGATTTGGGCATTTGTGTGATATTTTTTTTTATGATTTTAAGATATTAAATATGCGACTAAATGCAAAAAAACAATTTAAAGAGGAATTCCTAAAATTCTATAAAATCAAAACAATAAGAAAAAATCTATTTTTGTGGATTTTGTAGAAGTATTTTCATCGGGCAAAAAATACGTGCTCACAGTTGCCCGTCTTTGCTCGGAAACATGAAGAGTTTTTGGGCACAGGTAAAATGAGCAATTATGAGCAATTTTTTCCCATTTGACACTCCATTCGGAAGCATTTTAAAAAAGTTTGAACGAACCTTGCTTCGGAGGTTGCCTACATATCTTTGGCTATAAAGGAATCAGGTCAGTGTAGTTTTGAAAATTTTAGTAGCTGGGACTACCGAGAAGTTGTGAGTTCATTGTATTTGTTGTTGTTTCTTCTTGCTGAGCTCCTTATTACACCAAAATTAAAATGAAAAAAACTAAACAAGCCTATCCCAGTTTTCACTAGGAAAATTTTGTGAGTTATTTGTAATAAAATTCAATACTACTTCATTATTGAAAGCAATAAAAGTCGAGATTGGTGTACCCTAAGAAAACAAAGACTAGGGAGGGGAGACCCTATGTCTAAAATAAAAACAACTAGGGAGTGAAAAAATTAGGGAGTGGAGAACCTATGTTGGAAAAGCGACTAAGGAGTGGAGACCCTATGTCTAAAACAAAATCAATTAGGAAGTGGAGAACTTATGTTGAAAAAACGACTAGGGAGTGGAGAGCCTATATTGGAAAAAGACCAGGGAATGGAGATACTATGTCTAAAATAACTTCAACTAGGGAGTGAAGACCATATGTTGGAAAAACAACTAGGGAGTGGAGACCCTATGTATAAAATAACTTCAACTAGGGAGTGGAGACCCTATATCCTAAAAAATCAACTAGGGAGTGGAGACCCTATGTTGGAAAAGCGGCTAGGGAGTGGAGACCCTATGTCTAAAATAAACATCAAGTAGGGAGTGGAGACCCTATGTTGGAAAAGCGGCTAGGGAGTGGAGACCCTATGTCTAAAATAAACATCAAGTAGGGAGTGGAGACCCTATGTTGGAAAAGCGGCTAGGGAGTGGAGACCCTATGTCTAAAATAAACATCAAGTAGGGAGTGGAGACCCTATGTTGGAAAAACAAACTAGGCAGCGGAGACCCTATGTTGAAAAAATGACTAGGGAGTGGAGACTCTATGTCTAAAACCAAGTTAACTAGGGAGTGGAGATCCTATATTGGAAAAGAGACTAGGGAGTGGAAACCCTATGTCTAAAATAACTTCAACTAGGGATTGGAGACCTTATGTTGGAAAAGCGACTAGGGAGTGGAGATTCTATGTCTAAAATAACTTCAACTAGGAAGTGGAGACCCTATGTTGGAAAAGCAGACTAGAGAGTGGAGACCATGTGTCCTAATAAAAATCAACTAGGGAGTAAGGACCCTATATTGGAAAAGAGACTAGGGATATGAGACCCTATATCTAAAATAAGATCAATTAGGGAGTGGAGACCTTACGTTGGAAAAAGAGACTAGGGATTGGAGACCCTATGTCTAAAAATAAAATCAACTTGGGAGTGGAGACCATATGTTGGAAAAGGACTAGGGAGTGGAGACCCTATGTCTGAAATAAAATCAACTAGGGAGTGGAAACCCTATGTTGAAAAAACGCAGCTAGGGATTGGAGACCCTATGTCTGAAATAAAATCAACTAGGGAGTGGAAACCCTATGTTGAAAAAACGCAGCTAGGGATTGGAGACCCTATACTACCATGATTTAAACTTTTTCTTCTTCTTGCTTTTTTATTAAGAGAATGAATAAAATGCGGGAAGAATTTGAAGAAGAATTCCCTTTTTTTGGAGTCGTTGTTGTAGCAGAGCTATTTTAGTCTCCGCGCGGTTTGCATTTTGGTTGCACTTGCTTCTTGCAAGGTTGTTTTGGATTACACCTGTTTCCTATGGTTCAAACAAAGAACAATTTGCCAGTTTGAAACAGTGGCTGCTTTTGCGGACATGAGTGTTTTAGTCATTTGATCTCGACCCGACTTCTTTGACGATAATTTAAACTTGCACATGTTTATTTCCTGAAGACAGATTTCATTTCTATCCCCAAAGAACCTCTGGCTTTTCCAATACTTTACCATGACGGTTAGTCGCGTGGGACTTTACCTTTTCAACTTTATTTTGCCTTTGTGGGCATTTGACTTTGATTTTCTTCTTTCAAGAGTTTTTTATTTCGAAGCATCAGCCAGCATGGCCAGTCGAAGTCGACTTGATGCCCCTGTCGTGGCTGGGTGACTTTTTGCACATTAGCTTGTATCAAGCGAGAACTCTGTAAATCAGTCTTGTCATCCCTTCTTTGTCTTAGTTTCGGAACAAAGTTAGACCGAAAGAGATTCAAAGAAAAACAAACAATGGAATAGGCAATGAATTTAGAAAAGAGGTATCCCTTTCGGGGAAAGGAAAGAAGGACTTATCTGGAGTGCATACAGACTTCAATGAACACGACATGTCTCTTAGACTGAATGCCTGATCTGTGTAAACCATTCGACTCTCATAAATTCATCACAACTTTTGCCTCAA